TTTGTGTTGCAGTTTGGGCACTCGGGCTCAAAAAAGTTCACCATCATTGGACTAAACAAAGGGTCTCTGTCCTCCAGATATTGTTGAACTAGCCAATGGTGAGGCATGATAAGAACAGAATTTTATCAACATTTTGAATCCCAAAGTTTTTCCCACCCTTGATCTATGTAATTTTTTGCTATCCTCAACATACTAATCATTATAAGAATCCTATGGATGTTAACATTCCCATCTTACAACTAGGGTAATCAGCTTCAGAAAAAGTGCCATTCCACAGATCACCAAGTGAAGGTAGGACTACAGGTAAAATCAAACAGCTGCAAAGGTGTGCACCTAGTCACATCTGAAAAGAATGATCTCCCTTTCCATCTGCCAGGGAATTACTCTAACCCAGGCCTCAAAAGTAGAAGTCCAACAGTGAGACCAAAAAGGTTGCCCTTGGGCATGGATCAGGGTTAGACTAAAGCATATTTCCCCAGATGTGTGGTCACTTGAAATAGATTGTACTGGACCACACCTCAATCAATCCAAATTGTGCCCCTTGGGCATGGATCAGGGTTAAACTAAAGCATATTTCCCCAGATATTGTGTGGTCACTTGAAATAGATTGTAATGGACCACACCTCAATCAATCCAAATTGTGATCTATAGTAGGACCCCATATCAGTGGGGGATCAGTTCCAACTCCTCCCCCATGGATAGTGAAAAGCATGGATTATAGCAAACACAGTCTGTTGGACCCAGGAATCCTCTGTACTTGTAGCTTTTATCTTGATGGGACTTCTTTGAGTAAGATTCAAATTGAAATTTTCTCTCATTCCTGTGCTGAAGACTGAAGACCTCTCTCTCTCTGTGTGTGTTGCCAGAAGATCAGGTGAAATGGTGGTGGTGTACCTATATAACAGTGTTTGGTATTTCTTCGTGGTCTCTGTGAATGCATAATGGGTTTTAGTGCACTTGTGCAGAGAACCTCAAAAATTTCTAGAGCTTTAACGCATGTCATTAGGTCCCACTCGTAGCACGGAGTGCCCTAATTCATTTTTTGCCACCGCTGCAGTAGCACCTTGGCTAATGAGCTTCTGTTTCCCGTCAGAAAGTACTTACAGTACCTCAGTTTCAATCACTGAGTCCTTCCTGATCGAGACCACCTCGATACCGATACCGAAAAAGAAATCTGTAGCAAACAGCCCTGCCCTCACCTGCCTGTCACCACAGAACATTGACGGAGTAGCCAATGAGTGAATGGAAAGCGGAGCCAGGGGGGAGGGAGGAGGATAAAAAAACTGGTGGATAAAGTCTGAGGGAGAGAGAAACTGTGTGTGGCTTAAAAGTGATAGAAGAGTGCATTAGAGAACTGTAAGAGAGTAGACTGAAGCAGAGGGTTAAAAGAGATTTGAAGCAATATCTTAACCAATTCAAATATAAGTGATTTGCAACCTGTAATCTATCCCATGAGTATCTATTGATTATTAACTTCCCTGGTAAAATAAAAGACTTATGTTCTGACAGCACACATGTCTCAATACTTAATTGATATTAAAGCATTAATATCTGGTGGTGGCGAAGAAGAAAGAATAGCAAGAACCTCGTGGAGGCCAGGAAGATAGGGACTTCAGAGGGGATTGCGACAAAATCATTGACCATGCAAAAGGCTAAGCAGTTTACGGATAAGCCTACACCATCTGCTCCAACTACAGATCAAAATATTTTTAGTATTTTCAGATAGTGGATAAGTGAATCAGCAGATATGAGGGTCCTACTGTGTGATCACATCCCAAACTAACATTTTAAGGCAGTAGGGGACAAAGTGCTATTTTTGCTACATTGGTCATTTATAAACCTGTTGGGTCTGCAGATGGTGCTCTGAAAATTTGTCGCCACCCACCCCCAGACTGACAAAGTTGTTCATACCTATTTAAAGGCTACAATCCTGTAATCTCAGGAGAAGAGCCTATGAACTTGATTTGACTCACAGACTGTTTCAGTCTTGTCTACAGATAGGCATGAAGATAGTCCTATTTCTCCCCTAAGACCTACTCCTGGGAGTGAGGAGGATTCTTCTGCACTGTTGGCATGCAGCATTTGGGTAAATCCCACTCTTGCCTATGATAACTGACAGGAGATAATAACAGGCTTCCAACTTGCCTCACTCTCCCCTATACGTGGTGCAGTTCAAAGGAATTGCCTTAAGAAGGCTTTCCTTCCTCAGTCACTCATTTCCTCATCTTGCACTGGCAGAATTTGCTAAACGGATGGATGGATGGATGGATGGATGGATGGATGGATGGATGGATGGATGGATGGATGGATGGATGGATGGATGGATGGATGGATGGATCGATCGATCGATCGATCGATCGATCGATGGATCGATGGGAGCTCTTCCCACCCAGGAAAGCTGCTCTAAAAAGTTGTCTTAGGAGAGAGGCTTTGTGGAGAAAAGTGAGTGCTGCCACTATTTGTGTGTGTGTTCACGCATGCACATGCTGTTCTCATCCTCCCTCATTAGGTAAAAGTGGAGAGGAAACGTACTTTGCCAAAGAATTGCTCCGTATGTGTGTTCAATTGTCCCTTCATTTCTGCATTGGTTCAAAGCAATTTCATGTTTTGAACTGAAGCAAAAGTATTTGACTTTTGAAAAGTTAGGAGGGTCTCATGTGTGGAGGAAAACTATAGATGGGGAGGACTTTGTACTGTTTCATGTTTCCCGTTGCATTATGTAATCAATGGAATTTGTTCCCTTTGTGAGGAGGCTCTTAATTTGCCTTCTGGGAAATTGGTGTTTTTAAATTAGATACATTTATCATGGCAACCATTTTGTGAACAGTCCCCATGCCTTTTATGGTAGACATTTTGTGTGTGCACACTTGAGACTCACAAAATTCCAAATATAGCCATAGGTCCCCCATCACTGAGGGAACTCTACCCTATACTGTACTCCCAAATGCAGTTATCAGAGAGTGCGGAGCGTATCAGGAAAGCTTTTGCTGGGATAAATTTATGAACACTACAGGTCAGTGTGTTAAGATATCTGGCTGCAGAGGCAGGGAGTTCCATCCCCCACTGTGCATCTCAGGAGAACAGCCAGCCTGTGTGGCCTTGGGCACAGTCCCAGGGTATCCCCAGAAAAAGGGAATGGTAAACCACTTCAGAATACTCTGCACTAAAGAAAATCCTGGAAAAGTCCGCCATAAGCCAGAACTGGGTTGACTGCACACAAGTCATACCATCAAAGGTCCACCCAAAAATATTTTGTTGCTTTTTGCAGGAGGGCCTGATCTTTGAACTTACCGTATTTTTCCATGTATAAAACAACACTTTTTCATTAAATAATTTGAGAAAAAAATTGAGGGTTGCTTTATACAGGAAAGGCAGCTCTTTACCACTGCTTTTTGCAAAGGTACGGGGCTTAGCACAACGGAAGGGGAGGCTTTTTTCCCTTCCTTTTTGCTAAGCCCCCTGCCTTCTCAAAAGGCAAGGGCACCCGTGCAGGGCTTAGCAAAAAGGAAGGTGAGTTGTTGCTCCCTTCCTTTTCATTAAGCTCCATGCCTTCTCAAAAGGCGAGGGCACTCGTGCAGGGTTAGCAAAATGAGTTGTTGCTCCCTTCCTTTTCATTAAGCTCCATGTATTCTCAAAAGACGAGGGCGTGCTGGGCTTAGCAAAAAGGCATCCCTGTGATCCCTAATTTTTCTAATTTGGGGTCAGAAAATGGGGGAAGGGCTTATATTTTGGGTTGTCTTGTAAATGGAAAACTACAGTAAGCATGTGATGAAGGTGGGAATTCCAATTTCCAGCCCGCACTAGTAAGGGCCTATATGGTAGAACAAGCTGGCTGGACAGCTCAGTGGTTTAAGAATCTAGCTGAGGGAGCCAGAGGTTGGGGGTTCGATTCCCGCTGTGCCTCCTATGAGTAGAATAACCCTGGGTAGCCTTGGGCACGTTGTACAATTCCGGGGCGCCTCTAGAAGAAGGGAATGGCAAACCACATATTCTCTACCTGGGAAACTCTGGAAAGGATCTCCATAAGTCACTTGGCTTGAGCTGCTGCTGTTTTCCTTTGGGCTACCATAGGTAGTTGGACACCAGGCCGGTGGTGTTACCTGAAACAGCCCCGCCTAACGCCGCGCCTGCGCTCTGCCCCTGCCCCAGCAGGCGCAGCTGGATCTTGGCCGCAGTGAGAGCGGAGGGAGGAGGCAAAGCAGCAGCACCAGCAGCAGAAAGCGGTGGTGGCGGCGGCGGCGCTGCAGCGAGTTGGGCAGCCGAGCCAGCCAGCCAGCCGGCGCGGGAGCTGGGCGTCCGGAAGCGCCGGAGCAGCCCAGAGGTGGAGGAACATTCTCCGCACCTGGCAGACAGGTAGGAGGATCGGTCTGGCGAGGAGTGCTTGGCCGCGGAGGCGACGGGCAGCCGGGGTGCCGGAGAGTGAGGCCGTGGCTCTAAGACGCCCCCCTCCCCTCCTGCGCCCATCTCTTCCCGTGACGGGGGTCGTCCGTCCTTTCTGTTGGCTGGGAAGGACGACCAGCGCGTGTCAGGCTCCAGACGATGCTGCCTGTGAAACTGGTGGCTCCAAATCAGGGTATTTTGTGAGTCTCTTTGGCCCCGCTGCGTCTCCATCCCGTAAATAGCGCGGTCACGGTGGGTCGGTGGTAGAAAAAGAATTGATTCTGCCCAGCTTCTCCGTCTCTTTCGAATAAAAGAGCTACAAGAATAGCGTGGCTTCGCAATACTCTATGGCTAGTATGCCTTGGCGGCGTTAACGCCGGCCCCGGATCGCCGTGTCTTTAGCTCCCGGCACAGGCACCT